CCCATACCTCCCCCACACACACATTCCCCTCCTCAACCTACATCCGCCATGCCACCTTCCACACCTTCTACATCCCCCTCCAAAAAAATCTGCTCCCTCTCCCATCCCCATCTCATCCCTCTCCCATCCCCATCACATCCCTTCCACATCCACCCATAGCCCCTTCTCAAATTCACACCTTCTACATCTCCCTCCAAAAAATATCCCCTCCCTCTCTTATCCCCATCTCATCCCTCTCCCATCCCCATCACATCCCTTCCACATCCTCCCATAGCGCCTTCTCAAATCCACACCTTCTTCATCCGTATCCTGACCCCCACTTCCATTGTTCCCATCCTCATGTCTAATCTCATCCCTACACACCCATTCCCTTCCCCCATTCACCCCCTTAACTCTATTTACCTCCCCATCATTTATACCCTGTCATCCCTATTCCCCTCCCCCTCTCATCCTCATCCCTCACCCCCTCCCTCCTTCCCATCCCCGCTTTATCCTCGTCCCCCAACATTCACCCTCCCCTCTCCCTCATCCCCACCTTTTCCTTATGGTCATCCCCCACCCCCTCCCTCAGGGAGTCAGGAGGTGATTTACCACAGTATTCCTAACCATTGAACTGCTCCTGTAGGCACTGTGTTTATGTGGTGATTCTAGTTGAGTTATTGATCAATGGTAATCCCATGTATGTTGATAGTGAAGGATTCAGTGATGGGGGCAGTAGTTAGATTATTAGATTAGGCTCCTGAGACCATTCTGATGGAGGGTGAACATGTAAAGGGATTGAACACCTCTGCTGAAGAGGAGGCTGCTGGAGCCTGTGAACTGACGTAAAGCGACAGAAGAATTGTGGATGTAAGTGGAAAGGGACTGGACAAGGGGAGAAAAAAAATCGAGTCAGGGCAGAGATGACCAGTGAAATGAGATTAGTGACCAAGTGGACACAATAGCCTGGTGTTCAATGGTAGGGTCATGGTCCAGGATGAGATAGGAGGACGTGTCTAAGAGCTGCACTCAACCAGAATAATGTAGAAGTCAGCACATCAGACAACAACAGCACGTTCCTAGGCTTGACTACAAAGTCAGAGTAGGATTGGAGAGCACACAGTGCAGTCAGTTCAGAGGGAGATGGGTTTGAATGGGTAAGGGGAACAGAGAAATTGAAGCGACCAATGTCATGTCAATGGTGCTCAATGAACAGGGTCGAGTGCAGGTAAAAGGCCAGAGAGAGGGGTCCAGGGAGATTGTTGGAGTTGGATGAAGAGGTCAGGGGACGGGGAGAGGACTCTTATCGGAGGGAGGCAATGGCCTAGTGGTATTATCGCTGGACTGTTAATCCAGAGACCCAGATAACGTTCTAGGGATCCAGGTTCAAATCCCGCCACGGCAGATGATGGAATTTGAATTCAATGAAATATCTGGAATTAAGAATCTAATGATGACCATGAAACCATTGTCAATTGTTGGAAAAACCCATCTGGTTCACTAATGTCCTTTAGGGAAGGAAACTGCCATCCTTACCTTGTCTGGCCTACATGTGACTCCAGACCCAAAGCAATGTGATTGATTCTTAACTGCCCTCTGGGCAATTAGGGATGGGTAATAAATGCTGCCTGGTCAGCAACACCCTCATCCTCTGAATGAATTAAAAAAAGGGCAGGAAGGTATTGTGTCTGTAAGAGCTGCTCCTTTTTTGAGGTATTTTCAGTTTTGGAGCTGATTTCTTCAAATTCTAGGAGCAGTAATTACTGTGTTATAAGCTGTTGCATTGTTTTGGAACTTTGGGGGAAAAAGCAGATCAAAACAACGGCACTTTAAAAAAAGAGGAAGACAGACAATGGCAGTGGCAGTGACCACATGGGAAGGGATTCAAACGGAGAAATAAATCTGCACTGTTGGGTCTGACCCAGCAGTGAATCTGCACAGCTGACTGGTCTGCTGTTTGATTCCAAGTATCTCTGGACATCGGAGCTCGTCTAAGAAAAATTAACAAACAGCAAAATTCACAGCTGACCTTGGAGAAACCTGTGTTGGACAACTCACAGCAGGGGAGCAACTAAGTGGTTTTTTAAAGTGTAACCTTACTAATTATTTTGTACAGCTACAACAGTGGGTTCTTTTTCAATTATATATTTTATTGAGATCTGTCTCTTGATTAAACTTTAAAAACAGATACAAAGTTAGCCTGGAGCAGTGTTTTTAGAGCAGTAATACTGTGCTATTTTCTGAGTCTGTAGATAGTTAAGTTGTAATGGTGGCCTGTACAGCAGTGATGTACTCTTCCTGTCGGATGTGGGAGATTAGGGAATCTTCGCGTTACTGATGATTATGTCTGCAGGAACTATGTTTGGTTGCAAATCTTATCGGATCGCATGGATCCATTGGAGCAACAGTGACAGACAATGAGGAATTTACAGGAGCCAGGGGTTGTGATGGATGACATTTTCGGAAAGAGAGAAAAACCACAATATAGCCAGGCAGATGGGTTACCTCCAGGAAAGGTAGGAGTGGGAGGTAGGTAGTACAGGAGTTTTCTGTGGCTATCCCCATCTCAAACCAGTATGCTGTTTTGGAACATATAGGGGTGATGGACTCTCAGGGGAATGTAGCAGGGACAGCCAGGTTTCTGATACGAGACTGGCTCTAATATAATGAGGGGCACGTCAGGTTCCAAGTGGTTAACTGTGATAGGGGAGTCACTAGTCAGAGGCACAGACCAGATGTTTCAGCGGCCGACAGCGAGACATCAGAATGGTGTGTTCTGTCCCTCATACACGGATCAAGGATATTTTGGAGAAGGTGCAGAATATTCTCAAACAGGAGAGGGACCAGCTAGAAGTCATTGTACACATTGGAACTAACAGCATAGGATGAGAAAAGGATGAGATTCTGAGGAGAGAATATAGGAAGTTAGGCAGGAATTTCAAAAGGAGGTCCTCAAGGGTAGTAATATCTGGATTACTCCCAGTGCCACGAGCTAGTGAGGGTAGGAATAGGAGGATACAGCAGATGAATGCGTGGCAGAGGATCTGGTAAAGGGGAGGAGGATTCACATTTTGGATCATTGGAATGTCTTCTGGGGTAGACGAAACCTGTATCAGATGGATGGATTGCACCTGAATTGGAAGGGGACTAATATACTGGTGAGGAGATTTGTTAGCGCTATTTGGGAGGATTTCAACTAGTATTGTGTGGGGAGGATGGTGGGACCCATGGAGACAGTGAGGAAAGAGATCAATCTGAGGCTGGTGCAGTTGAGAAAGGAGCAAATCAAACAGTCAGGGCAGGCAGAAACAAAGCAGAGAATGAGGTAGGACTGATAAATTAAACTACATTTATTTCAATGTAAGAGGCCTAACAGGTAAGGTAGATGAACTCAGGGCAAGGTTGGGAACATGGGACTGGAACGTCATAGCATTTGTGGAGACATGGCTCAGGGATGGACAGGACTGGCAGCTTAATGTTCCAGGGTATAGATGCTACAGGAAAGATAGAAAGGGGGGCAAGAAAGGAGGGGGAGTGGCATTTTTGATTAGGGACAACATTACAGCTGTATTTAGGGAGGATATTTATGGGAATATATCCAGGGAAGTTATTTGGGTGGAACTGAGAAATAAGAAAGGGATGATCACCTTTTTGGGATTGTACTATAGACCCCCTCAATAGTCAGCAGAAAATTGAGTAACAAATTTGTAAGGAGATCTCAGCTATCTGTAAGAATAGTAATTTGGTTATGGTAGGAGATTTTAATTTTCCAAACATAGACTGGGACTGCCAAAGTGTTCAGGGCTTGGATGGAGTGGGATTTGTTAAGTGTGTACAAGAAAATTTTTTGGATGTACCTTCCAGAGAAAGTGCAAAACTTGGCCTACTGTTGGGAAATATAGCAGGACAGGTGACTGAGGTGTCAGTGGGGGAGCACTTTTGGGCCAGTGACCATAATTCTATTAGTTTTTAAATAGTGATGGAAAAGGATAGACCAGGTCTAAAAGTTAAAGTTCTTAATTGGAGATGGGCCAATTTTGATAGTTTAGGCAAGAACTTTCAAAAGTTGATTGGGA